TGCTAATGTATATGAGCGCCAGTAATAACATCTATTATAGCATCTATTGCCTCAAATTGTTCCTTATCAACTTTTCTTAGGAACAAAAATAAATAGGAGATTCAGCAAACCAACAGTAGTCCAGAGAGAGACGGATACGGTAAACAAGGCTTAGTTTTCAAGGAGTGACAGTTGACATTGTTCCTTATTTGCCCTCTCTAGACACTTCATTTTCCGCAAAGGAAAAATCATTTTTCGAACTGAATATCAACAAAACAGAGGAAATTATAAAAGCAAGCAGAAGAGTTTCGTGATTTTGTAGATCTCAAATCCGAAATTTTAAAGGTTCCTGTAGTATATTAGTTGAACTACAAAGGCTACGTTAACATTGAAACTGCCTCTTGTGGAATCAGTGTTCAGTCACACTTCAGCACCCTCAACTACAAAATTAGTGGGCTGTGTTCTGTACAGCTGCATTACCAATGGCCCAGACGATAGACATTTCTAGGATTAAAATCTCAACAAGAAACTAAATTTGCGAATGTACCATGAGCAAGCTTACTATGGATGAGCAGGCATCCATGTCCAGAACATTTTTTCATCAGTATTCTAATGTAGAAAGTGCATGACATGTCAGTTCAGTACAACCGAAAAACTTGTTATTACTGTGAGCAAATATTTTATTTGAACACTAGAGGAGGCCGCAGGTACCTGACCATTTTGCAATGTCGCTTAGAGGGCGTGGACGGCCAAAGGCATACGAGATAACATCACATGCCCATGATGCAAAAATAAACGCTTTAAGTATGAGGGTGCGCTCCAAATTAGAACATCTTCCTCGAGTCTTCAATTCCTAAAACACGATCCTACTTGGAACCTCTAAAATACTTATAAATCATTAGATCAAATCAATTGGTTCATATTGTATATTATCTTAATTACACCATGAATAATATTTAAGGTATGGTTAATTGCGACCATTCCTATATCAACCTTTAAATGTTGCTAAAGAATTCCCATATGAGAAAGCAAAGCTCATATCAAGATTCTGAAAAATTGGATGTCAATAGGTTCCCTTCCAATTACCTTAATCTATGAGAGTTCTAACAACTCAAGCAATCAAGATATCCGGATATTGGTAAAAAAAATCAGCATCAAGAAAACAATGGAATAAAAGCTCATATAGCCAAAAGGAAAAAATGATTGCAGATATACAGCTTGAAATATAAACCGCTGCATGGAGCAATTCTAGTTAAACCAGGGAACAAGGAATGAAAGCTAAGCAAAGGAAACCATTAAGATGTTACAGACTTACATATAAGAAACGAAAGACCACAAATTGGAGAACCATCAATCTCTAAGCTGCTCGATTATAAACATCCAATTGTATGCACTTCACTCCTTCATGTTCATCCTTGAATACCTGCAGAAAAGACAGCCATAAGAAACAGGCACATGTACATCTATCCAGATAGATACATAAAGAAAGTCACTTGCCTTGTAGGCTTGAACTGTTCTATTCCACAGTCATTGTTCACTCGCTCTGCAGTTTGCTCGACATATCCTATAACAGGACAATAACTAACAGACCAAGAATATACGTACTTCATGCACAATCAAAAGAACAAACTTCAGAACTAACCAGTCTCCAAAGACAGCAGACTGCCATCACTAGATCCAGATGAAACTGCTTCATTAGTGGGTATGGATATACATGTTGCATAACTGCAGAGATACTCAACAAGTCAGGTTTGCTTCACGTATTAACTGATATCCTTAAAAATTTAATAGCTCAATAGGAACAGGGAGACAACTATGTATAGAAAGGAAAGTAGATTTCCAAGGAAAGGAGAGAATGGTTGGGGAAACCTTAAAAAAGAATCTAAACTGAAACAAAAAGGGAAAAAGCATTGCATTAGAGCTTAGCAGATTAAAACATGCTATTCAATTAAGAAGTTTAAAGATAATGCAAAATGTATGCGGATGCAATGCAATAGAACAAACCGGAGTGATCACAGAAGATTTGGAATTTGGTGTGCAATATAGTCTACTTGGAGAAGCCAACATGCATACATGAATAGATTATTGATAAAACTTAAAAAGGCAAACAAAACATTCATATGATAACAATTCTAATCAGTTGCAGCTTTGCAAACGTCAGTACATCTTATTTACCATTAGTAAAAATTGTTAATACTCTGGCTAAAATGTCAACAGTTTTGAACTTGCATGCATGGAGATCAATTTTTTGACAACCGTAATAGAAACAAAACAGAGCTATATAGCAGAAAAAGAGGCAAACCCAAACACATTGCCAACAGTGACCAAAATCACTCTCTCTCTCTCTTTTTCTTTTCTTGCTTTTGCCACTGGAAGAACATTACTAATCTCTTTTTGTTCAATAGATTGTAAAAAGTTAATGCTAACCATGCCTTCAAGGCTACACAACATCTTGACACAATCACAGATTCTTCGAACTTTATGCTATCAAAGAGATAATGCTATAAGTAATCTGTTAAGGGAGGAAAAGAAAGTTTATATAGCATATTTCAGACAAGGTAGCCACTGCAGAGCGATTAGAGACAGTAAGTAGTAGTTCATTGCTACGAACCTAGCATTATCAACAAAAGGCGTTGTCAAATTACCATAGCATCTGCCATCAGAAGCAACACAGGGAGGATGATATGTGGCACCTACAGCTGCAGCAGCAGCTGGTAAAACTGGTAACCTAGAGAAGTCACACCATCATCAAATGGCACAGACGAAAAATCAAGATTAATTATCGCGGCAACTAAGTTAACACAATAAAACTTCTTTTAACTATTAGTAACAGAAAAGATATCTGCAAGAATGAAAATCCTGAAATCAACTTGTTTCAAAGTTTCAATATGTACTGTCTGCGTAAGAAGCAAACCGAAAGAAGCAAAAAGAGCATACGCCTTTAAATATTCAACCATTTAAACTGGAAATAAACCAAATATCAAGGCAACATAAAGGAGCAGTGAGATCATCTCACCATTCTATTTCTTCCAGAAAAGCTCAACAAGCTTTTCTAAATCATCTTTTCCGGACCCTAGTAACACTTCCATTCATTTTCTTCAATTTAAAAGACATGTACTCTCAGGAGAATGAGTGCTGCAGTATCATTTGCTAAAGACTGTTATTTGTGCCTTTTCCCCTATCATACTGTGCTGATGTAAAAGTTGAAATTTGTTCCAGAAAGCAAATACAATCAATTACGACAATGATGACTCATGGTTATCAGAGAAGTATATAAAGCCATAATCTATAAGCCTCTAATTTTATTTTTAGTCCAAGAAAACTATGACATAATTGCAATCTTTGGTTAGTTGTAAGAGAGAGCCTCTTGATGAGTACAATACTCCACAACTTTCATTAATTAATCACTAAAAATCCATCAAACTGACAGGATACCTATCACCTGGACAAAACTCAAGGAAGAACTTCATTATTTTAGAGATCTCATGCATTGAAGGGGAACAAGGGACTGCAACTTGTGAAAGAAATTTCACATATACAGAGAGATAATTAGCATACCATGTCAGGTTGGGATTCCTAAAATGAACTTGAGGTTCACCAATGTATCCAGTGGACGTCATATCAATCACAGGATTGCCAAGTCTACCAAGATGCAGGCCCCCAATTGGCATAACTGCTAGCCCAAACATTCAAATTCAAAACGAATGAAGATCGTCTGATAAACTACAAACTTCTTTGATAGATCATACTTTGCAACTACTATAATGTTAGTGATGCCTTGACAGTTCAATGTGTTCATAGTTTACTTTTAAACTGATATCACCACCTAATCGGAATCCTCTACCCTGCAGCAAATCCCTGTAGTAGGATCCACCACCTCCAAATGACTAAAGAAAACTAAAAGCTTAAATTACAGATAATATAATCAGGCTGACCTATTTACTCACCTTTCTTCAATTACAACAACGGCCCCCTCCCCAGCCCCCTCCAAAAAAAAAAAAAGATTAGAAAAATAAGAGTATTGAAAGGCATGTAAACCCACAATCCACCTAGTTAACAATTATATATCAACTAAAGGAACCTTGGCTAACAACTAAAGTAAAATTGCAATGATAGAAGCATTAATACACCAACTATATGTATGAATCATAGTAACTATTTTGATGGAGCTACAATGTCAAGTAACCAAAACTTACTCTATCGGTTCAAAGGGAGAAAGGAAAAGGGAATTATATACCAGGAAGAAGTACTGGGGTAGCATTAAACTTTTGGTCACCCTGTACTCCAGAGTATTGAGGAGGACTAATGATGCTGCTTCCAGTCCCCCGAGACACAACGTTAGACTGAATTGAGACTGCAAAAGATTCCAATGTTCCAGATTCATTAAAACTCAGAGATGAAGCTTCAACTAATTTCTGATATCCACTCCCAAGGCATGAATGCAACTGCTGAGTGGAAACTTGTGATGAAGGTTGAATTGTACTTTCAACAGACATTCCTTGAACAATGGGCTGCTGTGCCAGAGAAGAAACTCTATTTAACTGGCTAGGAAAGAGAGTTGCTTGATGAGTAAATGGTATTGAGAGAGATGAACCAATTCTCTGGTCTCTTGACTCAGGAGAAGGCATGTATGTTGACCCAGGCACTGAATACTGAAAAGAATGTTCGCAAAAATAATTTTCAGGAACCAGACTAACTCCCTCCTTAGCATAAGGAATATCTAGCACAATATTTTCTGGTAAGTACTCATTGGATTGTGGCACATGGATAATCTGATTTGGCAGCACAGAAGCAGGAAACGTTACATTTCTCCTTCCAGGTAGTACCATCCTTTTTTCTGTCCTGGAGTTATCAACATTAAAAGAACTTGCAGGATAAAATGCTTGCAGGTAAGAACTCATGTTAGGTGCCAAAAGGTGCTCATCAAAGGGAAGCGAATCAGAATCTGCATTGAAACCACGGAAGGATACACTTGCCGGATTAATATATGACACCATTTGCAGGTCCCCAGAACTGAAAGGTTAGAAATAAATAAAAATCAATTTAAAAAGATAATCAACAAAAAAGGTTTCAGAAAATAAGTACCCAAAAATATAACTTACTGCTTGCTCTTTGTTGAGAAAACTGTAGATGAATCTGTATCCCTAGTCATTTCAAAGGGCTTTGCAGGCCTAGAAGATCATTCATGATTATACAGAATTGCAATATATTCGGTTAACATAAAATTTCAAGGAACAAATGAATCCGAAGTTTTAGCTTACTGCTTGCACTTAATTGATAATGCTCTTTCTGATGAATCAGCATTTGATGTCTTCCCCAGGAGCTGTTTATATCTGAGGTCAGCAAACAACAATGTCATGGAAACAATAACAATGGAACAAACCAAAGAGTTAAAAAGGTACAATTGGTGCATGCATGTTGGTGTTTGTAACTTACTGCCGCCTGTTATTTGCTGAAATTACTCTTGCTGAACCTGTTTTGGAACTCGTTCCTTGGGTCTTCTCCAATCTGAAAAATCACCAAGCAGCAAAAAGCAGTCTAACAAAAATACTGGATGAAGAGAGCATTGTCCAAAGAATGAATTTATCCAACATGTCAGCTTACTGCATGCTTTTCATTGGTGAATTAACAGAGCTGCTCCTGAAAAGAGGGTTATATCTAACAGACCCTCGTCCTTTAACTATTTTTGAAGAACTGCCATTACTGCCAGATTTGGAATGAGGTCTGGAATCTTTTGCTTTATAACCACCACTTTTAGTATTATTCTTGTTGCGACCTTGATGATGATCTTTAGAAGTCCTGTGTATCTAGTGAGACAATTAATAAAAAAAAAAGGTGTTACAATAGTGCTTTCATTGCTGTTAAGTAAAACCTGCGACAATGTGATATCTTTCCCACCACCACATAAAAAAGCATCACAAAATGGAAAAACAGTGTTCAGCATTTAGACTGAACTTCAAAGGCATTCAGTTCATTATTATGTGGTTTCTCCAGTGTCATCTCTTCAAACTTGTCATGCATCCATTTTAATTCATCTTTGGATTCCCAGATGTACTTTTTCCTGAAAAAAGAAAGACAATAAAGATGATAAATAAAGTGTACTAACATAACAAAAACGAGAAAGAAACTACACAGAATATTTATGTTAAAAAAGGAGCGAGGAGAGAGAAAAGGTACATAAATCACCAAAAGCAAAGAAAATTGATTAAGAGAAAACCAAATCCATCATATGACAGTATATGAATTTATCTGCATTTTATTGAATTATTTCTCTATCATTGACTACCGACATAAACAACCATGAAATCCACTTCCGAAAAATTAAAAAATAAATGGTCTGCTGATCTAGGAAGGTGACGCAGAACCATATAATAACACCCTGAAACATTAACCAACAGAGCTATACAATAAATAGGTCTCAACTGATGTGTGACTAATTAGCAAGTATAACAGTAATTAAAATCTTACGGTGCTACCAAAAATATTGATTAAATTGTTCTGATGAATGTTACCGTATTAATAGCAAAGGATACGAAAAAAGGTAGACTGAGCAGACATCTCCTATTGGTTAACTACAGTACAGCCCAAGGTTATAATGCAAATCTAAGATGTTAAATGAAGCAGAACTAAAGTGTTAACTGATCTAGGCATCAAAGTGTTAGCACATTCTTATTGTCAGTTACATTTTCACCATTTAACTCAACAATACCTCGCCCCATACACACCAGAATATTTAATGCACATTATTTTATCGAAAACCGCCATGTGAACTAACATCTGTAACTAAAATTAAATGAGCTTGAACAAATCAATAATCTAAACCTATCAAAGATTCATGAAGATAGTTTAAAATATTTGAATCAAAATGCAGTTCAAACATTCTCATCAAAACGAATCGAGACATGGTGCCTTCGCTAGCGGAGAAATATGAATCTTATATTATAATCGTATATTGAGTATAGTTCGATGACATTTAATCGTTTTACATGCAAACTCGAGTTAAACAGAAAAACGAAGGTACCTCCGTTGATAGCGACTTCGACGACGAAGACCGTCGAAACGATCGTCATGCATGTAAAACGCACCGGTTCTTGGAACCGCAAAGGGGTCGATGTCGGCATCGTTTACCTTCTCTCTTCCTCTCTGTTTCGTCGATGTTACTTGTTTTGCAACTTCCTCTTCGCGTTCTTCTTCTACTTCTTCTCCAAGCTTTTCAAGTTCATGGACGTAAGAACCTTCCTCATCACCATCATCTTCGTAGAACTCCGGTGCTCCACTGCCACCATCCGACTCATCAGCGTAACCAGTCCTTCTAACACTTCTATTAAACCGTACGGCCATCTTGTTTTCCTCCATTTCGACATCCTTATCGTCGTCGCTCGCTTCCCTTCTTATCCGCAATAACAACGTCTCCTCCGGTTCGCTCTCGTACTGTGCTTCCACTTCTCCCGAGTTCGCCATTTTAATAACCAAAAAGGAACCCCCCAAAATAAAACTATATCTAAATTTCAAGATTCATTCCTCTAAAATATGAACAGAGTAGAATGCTCTTGAAACCAAACAAGTTTCTTTTATTGTAAACGGAGATGAAAGGTCGAAAACAAAGAAATATGAAAAGATTTAGGGTTTTTTCATTTCTTTTCAACTAGTCGTTTCTACTTCACGCATTTTGCGTTTTGATCTTAATCCTCTTCACAGCAGAGCATAGAGCGCGAAAATTTCATCTCTGTTTTCTTTTTTCTTTTTTTTTGTCCTTTATCTTCCGAACACGCCGTCTTAAAAATAAAAAAAATAATCCAGAGCTTGAGGTTTCCCTCTGCCTGTAATTTGTAGGCTTTGCGGTCTTTGTCCTATATTCTAGCCAACTCATCAACAGTTGGTCCCACCTCATACCCACTCAAAATGACCCCACTTCGTTTTCAATGGCCGTCGAGTTTGGGCCCTGACCCGTACCCGGCCGACGAGGTGGAAAGAAAAGAGAGGAGGAATTATTGGAAAAGAAAAGGATGGGATTGGGGGTAGCTAACTGGGTTGGGAGAAGTAGCTTTCCTCTTCCTCTTCCTCTTCCTCTTTTTCCACCAAGCATTCAATAACGAATGGAGATTATAATAGGCGGAAAGCTAACTTTTTTTTTTCTTGCTTTTAAAGGGGCCACCCTTTGTATTATTATTATTATTTTTTTCTTTAAACTCGTGATAATAATATTGATTAGGACAATAATATTGATTAGGTGTACGCATGTTGCAATATAATACCCATTCGTAAAATGATGCAATGGTGCTATTAATCTTGATAACCATGTGGCAATGCATGTGCATTACAATTCAAAAATGTAATTCTTTTATAATGACTAAAGCAAATGTTTGCACTCTTTTGGAGTAATTATGAACTGTTGTCCTTCATCATTTTATCTCTTTTGTTTCACTGTTCTTTCTCTAATTAAAAATGAATAAAGAATTTAAATAATTAAATAAATCCATCAATGGGGGAAGAAATGGATAATGTTATTAGGTGTGGGAAACAAAATTTCTCATGTTTTTTTTCTCTGAAAAGGTTGTTATTATAAACCCTTCCAGTTCAGTGACTCGTAATAAATTTAATTATAAGTTTAATATGTATATTGTTTGAATACAATGAATTTCTACATAGTATCATTTATCTAAATAGCTATTGGATAATATCTTTCATTATGAGAATGAACATACTAATTCCGTCATATTACAATAGTATCAGTTTAGAATATTACTTAAATTTTGTTTGAATTAACAGTAAAGGATTTTTTTTTGGTTTTTACTAGAATTTGTTATATGTTAAATCATTTGTATCCTTGAGCTTCAATCCAACACTAGTTTATGGACTGTACAATATGTTTGAACAACGTTGTATAAGAAATTGGTTTTTTATTCTTTATAAGCAAGAACTAAGAACAAATCAAATAATAAAATAATATACAAACTTTTCAATTTGGGAAAGTATGAAGCCAAAGACAAAAGAAGAGAAAAATTTAGTATGAACAATTTTAACATCTTGTGCCAACCACAAAATGAAAGAAAATAAAAAATAAAAAAAAAGAACCACCGATTTTCCATGTTATAGATCCCGCATTCTAGAAGTCTCGGTTTTCCATTGACAGAATGAGACAGCATTTAAAGTTCAGCCTAATGTAAAAAAGATTATGTAAAAATCAAATGCCAAAAGATTAAGTAGATCTTTGAAAATTCGATCTTTGAAAATTCATAGTTAAATATTAAAAATTATTTTTTAAAATAATTTACCTTTGAGAATAATTTTGATCAATGTAATAAAAAGTAATAAAATGTTTCTAATTCATAATAGATTTTATTTAACATCACTCATTTTGATAAATAAAACTAACGAAATATATAATAAATTTAATTACGTAATTCAAAAGCTTATTTTTTTAAATATCAAATCAGTAATTTCACTTTGAGTTAAATATAAAAGAGTAATTAATACGATGTAAAACATTAAAAAAAAAAAAGAAACACAGTTGTAAACCTGTAGTCTTAATTCGGGTTATCAGCCAATGGCAATTAAGTAAATAGACTTCTTCACAGGTCGTCCTTATTCAACAAAATAGACGAAAACCGTCAAAAGAGGTTAACTGCACGGGGACAAGCTCATCTTTGTTCTCCTCTGTCCGAGAACGCAGTACTGTAATAAAAAAAAATAATAGAAGAAAAATTAAAAAAAATCTCAGAATTTATCTCTCTCTCTAAATTTTCTCTTAAATAAGTATTTTTCTCTCTCTCTTCATATTAAGGAAAAAACAAAACAATTAAAATAATAAAGCAGCCTTTTTAGTATTTTGTTTAGTTCTTAGCTGTACCAAAGCTTCCCTCTGTAGTTTCCAACACCCCTTTCAAAGATCTACAAATTTCTCCCTCCCTTATTCTCTTTTTCTCTTTTTTGCTTAATCCAGCTTTTATTGCTCTATTCTTACTTACGTAATATTCTTGGCTTTGGATCGGATTATTTGATTAAAGCGCCTCTAAACCAAAGTTCGAAACAAACTTTTCCTTTTTCTCTCTGATTCCAGGTCAGTTCGTTATTTCTTATTTTTTTTCTTTTTTCTCGGTCAACTTTTCTAGGGTTCCAAACACGTTCTAATTTGTCTATTTTTGCTGTTTTGTGTTTTTAAGACGCTTTGATCGCTCAGATCCGTTGCCTTTGGTTAGTTGAATTTTTGTATGTTGTACTTTTTTATTTGTTTGGCTAGCAGGAAACTGTTGGCTTGGTAAGGAAAAATAAGAGGTTTGCAGTTTAGATTTTTAAATTTTTCTTTGCCAGTGTATGGAAGTTAAGGTTTAATCGATTTTATAGAAATGAGTAATGTAGAAGAAGCAAAGTTGGAGTTAATTGGATTAGAATTCTGAAATTACTTAATATTTTTGTGTCTTCTGGTTATTAATAAGTTTGGAGAAATTTCTTGTGGACTACTTTTGTTTTATTTTTCAAAACTATCTGTCCCTTTTTTAAGTTCTATAATTTGGTCTTTGCTTATTTTGATGTAGGAAGGTTATGATGGCGAGTCGGGTGAAGGAAGATGAGAAAAATGAGCGAATAATTCGGGGTCTTCTCAAACAACAGGAGAATCGTAGATGTATTAACTGCAACAGTTTGGTATGATTTTTTTTAAATTTTTGTTCTTGTTTATGTTTTGATCCTATGATTGTAGTCAGAGAGCCAGCATTGAGTATTTGATGATTGTGCTGTTGTATTATGCTATCGATTGATGGAGTAAAACTGTGTGAATTGTTCATCAAGTACATTTGCTTTTTGGATTTAGGCATAGATATATTTTTTGGATGAATAATTCGAAGTTACACATCACCAAGGCACTAGGAAGTCGTAAACTCTCATGAAATACCGGAGAAAAGTGTTATTATTGGATACACTTGTTTATATATGTAGGCTTTGAATTGATTGAATCAGTGTTGTTGATGAAATCAATAATGCTTGTGGTTCATTTATTATTTATTATAAATACTATATTATTGATACTTCTATATTTATATCCCTGCATACATGGAAAATCAACCCATTTATTTTGAAATATGGAAAAAAGCAGGTTATCCTTAGGCTGGGAATTGTAACTAGCAAGATGTTGTATATGTTTGAACACTAATATGAATTTCTTTACAATTAGAAAGCCTGATGCAAGTCTTGATTATTTTGGAATTTTCACTCTTAACCTTCTGGAGAATTTTGGTTGCTCCGCAAAATGATTGTGTGAATTTCGTCCCAATATGTTGCTTTTGGAAATTTTGCAATAGAAATCTGCTTTTTGCGGCATTTTCTTTTGTGCTAAATTGAGCGTTGTTCCTTTAATGTGTAAATTTTGAGTGTATATACTCTCTGTTATACTGTTGCCATCTGCTAACTTCTTGTCAGCTGAGCAGGGGCCTCAATATGTTTGCACAAATTTCTGGACATTTGTTTGCACTACCTGTAGTGGAATACAGTAAGTGTTCACATTTTTTGGGACATTTAAGTTTTCTTCATATTTTGGCTGCTGCCTGCTGATTAGCTTATATCTGAGACTTTTGGTGCCTTTGTAATGATAGTCAGTAGATTACTAAAATGGGCTTCTGTTTTAATTATTTCTAGTCGGGAGTTCACACACAGAGTTAAATCAGTGTCGATGGCTAAATTTACTTCTCAAGAAGTTAGTGCTCTTCAAGACGGGGGAAATCAGGTACAGATAAATCCTCTTCACCCAAAAAGAAAAGACTTCTTTTGCGTATGTGTAATTTTCTTTTCATTTTAAATATTTCCAGTTTCTCATATTGCCTGGCTCCTCTCTCTTACGTGCAGCGTGCAAAGGACATCTATTTTAAAGAATGGGATCCACAGCGTAATTCTGTTCCTGACAGCAGGTTAATACTTGACTATC